ATATTTTCACATGCAAAACAGGGTCACTTCCGCTAAAAGCATCTTGTTCACGAAATTCCATGAATGATTAAGGAAGCAGAAAAGAAGTACCGAAGACAAGTTAACAAAACAGACAAAAAATACGCAAGATTCGAAAAAACTAGCATTTTTATTCCACAACCTTCAAAACTTTTCCAATTGCGATTGTTTTGCCCTCATCGCGTAGCGTAAACCGTCCCATTTGCGGGAAATCTTTGAATGCTTCCAGGCAAAAAGTTTCCGAACTTTCCAGTCGCATAATGCACTTCTCATCCTGCTTCACAAATCGTGCCCTCACTTTGTTCCCAGTTTTCTTGTCGATTGTACAAATTACCGTCTGCAAGGAAGTACAGATAGTGGGCAAGCAAATAGGGCATCGCTAAAACGTGATTCTTATCGACTCTAATACCTTAGCTTTGGATTTACTGGCCCTGGTCCTGGTTACTACCCTCTTCCTTTCCCCCACAGCGCCTTTGAGGCCCGTACTGCCTTTTACTTTACTAAGCCAAATGATGTTTGCAATGTTTCTCTGTCATATATCTTTTAAGCGGAAAGCTAGCCTAAGGCACTAAATCTGTGTCTTTTTGGAAAATAGAACATATTTCACCCTAATTTCGAATAAATACAGTGATTGCAACAAGGACACCTCCCCACGTGCTAAAATATCAGCGCGAAAAATACCTGTATGAAGCAAAGTAAAAAAAATCTGACCGAAAAACAGCTAAAGCTAAAGGGTGGTAAGAACCGTTTAAAAAAGCCAAAAAAAAAGGAAGTCCCGAGGATACCAGAAAACACCACAATGATGAATACCATAAAACATAAAGTAAAACAGCACTTGGACCTCAATTTCATCAAGGGAAAATGAGGAGGGCAGTGAGGTATCTTTTCGACTGGAAAGCCAAAAAATTGATGTAGAAGCAACAAAATAAACAAATAAAGCCTGAACATTTTGACTAAGCGATGCTGTCATGCGCAATATGCATGCATCACAATAATTCAATAAAAAAGTGGAATCCAGAGAGGATCTCAACTAAAGAACATACCCTTACAACAACTTCTTCGGTGGCTGACTGGATATGAAGGACACAGGAATATCCGGAGGCGATAATAGATTTGTGATCCAAAATGACCACCTGCAAATTAGATGGTTAACAAATAAAATTACACATTTCCAATACCATCATTATTATCTAGCACATATAAAAGGTGCATATCTATAAAAGTCCTTAAATCTAACACATATAAAAGGCACTGAATACCCTCTTCTCACAAAATACACGTCACCCCAAAAAACTCCAATGCGCTTAAACTGCTACAGACATGCCTTCCACCCCCAGATGAAGGCCGCAGTGAAGGCACGTAAGAGACCCGAACTACTGGATCAGCTAAAGTATAATTAGCCACAAATCGAACGCAAAGTTGGAAAACGAGGCACATGACTAGCAGCAGGCTGACTACTAGGTGGTGCATCTAGCAGCTTATTCACTTATTCAAGTTTCTGACCAAAAATTTGCATCATAACGTTTCAGTCCCCTATTATATATTTAATTTCAAAACAGGACCAACCTCGGCGTCGAAAACTCTACCAACATGACATAATGCATCCGGCGAACAAAGAACAAATCCAGGAAGTATGTCTGCATCCTCAATGCCTTTTAATTTTAGCTTTACATTGTCTCCAGACACGATTTTATCCGTTTCCACATCATCTGACCACAGTTGGATCACTTGAACACTCGACTAAAATGTAACATGTAAATTGAAATCCAGGAATTTCAAATCTCAAACCAACTGGCTTATGCGGCAAGTTAAAAAGAGATTCTGGGAATTTGTGGAAGAAAGTCGAGCTTTTCAAAATAAACTGCAAAATTCCAAAAACTTACTCTATTTGGCATCACTGTTAGGGTTTGCCCTTTAACTACAATACCCGACTGTACTTTTCCAATAATTATCGTTCCCATATCCTGAAAAGGTTAACGATCTACATTAATATAGAATGATGTGGCTGCAAAACAGTTCAACCATTTGTTCTCAGAAAGTATTTGTTTCGCATACGTTCACATCGTGAGTAACACAAACAATTTAACAGCATAAAAATAATGGCCTGGGAAGGGACAATTTAATCCAGGAAGTTTTTTTTCTTAAATTAAAAAATAAAAACTTCCAAATTTTTAACTTATTGAAATATTCCTGTGATGATAAATGCTAAAACACTTTTGTATTACATTACAAAAAGTATACTGAGCCGGCAAAAACAAGCCGGGCTCTGAAAAAAGAAAGCGAATAAATCATAAAATTTAGGGCGGCCCAGTACATCAATATATTAGGTCCCTGATATCGTGATTAGCAAGGCTGATAACACTTACACTATACTTATCCGCAATGATAACACGCACTGGTCCTTCGTAATCGCGGCTAATCGATGGAAGCATCGTATCAATATATTCAATGAAGCACGGACCGCTGCAAAAATCAACCTTGTGCGTTGAAGCAAAATCACACTGATGAAGTAAACGACATTTCTTATAATATTTTACTTTTACTAATTTCATAATACCATTTTCCCCCTTCTTCCAACTTCAGAAAATATTTTCCTATCACATTCTCAAAAACGTCAATAAATGCTAAGACTTACGTGTACCAGGACCCGAATTCAGCGCCTGGTCGTTCCTTCAGGAATGCTCCAGTAAGTCCGGACACCGGAATATACGTAATGTCTGTTTTTGGGCTAAAACCACATTTCCGTAAATATGGCGTCAATTTGCTCTGAATTTCCTTGTACCTGAAGCAGAAAAGTGTCGAATGTTTAGAAGAACAAACGAATGAACTCCCCGGAAGAGAACAAGTAGTAATTCTGCAAAAGCCGGTAAATGAAGTCAGCGGAAACGAGGATAAAAACTCCTTCAATCACACCTTACTTATCAATTATTATCCTGAAAAACAACAAACCTTCCTTGATCCCAACAAACTGTCGGATCGTCCATTTTATTAACCAGAACAACGAGATACTTGACACCAGCAGTTTTCACCAACATTGCATGCTCACGTGTTTGTCCGCCACGGTCAAAACCGGTTTCAAATTCGCCTTTCCGTGCACTTATTACCTAAAACAATACTGATCTAATATTTTTACTTAAAATCGAATCGCTGTGAAACAAGCAATCGGTTCCGGTGCAACAAATTTTGGGCAATTTTTGCAAGTGAAACGGACGTTTTTGAATTTTATGCGATTCTTTGTTCTCTGTGGTAGTCCGATCGATCAAAAGCAATAAAGGAACTGAGATTTGTCCAGCATTCCCTTCGGAAACACACAGAAAAGAAGAACCAAAGACCATCAAAAAGTTTACCATCACCAGATGCAGCTTAGGCAGCAGAACCCTTAAAAATACCCATTTTATTGCTACGTGACTGAATACTGCAGTAAAATGCGAGCTGATCAAAGAACCGCTAAGCTGTTAACGGTAAAGAATAGCAATAAACCATATTTATACATCCGAAATGAATATGAAAAACTTGTGATACTTAAAAGTAACAAA